CGAAGAAAGTTAATACGTGACTTTTCGTCGCAGTAATGGGGTATTCCTATTATATGGAAGTCTCTAATAAGCACTGCGTCCGTTGCTTCAGATATATCGATATCCCCGATATATCGATACTTTCTTATAAACCACGCTCTTCTAGATTTCATTTTGTTATCTCTCTCTCTCTCTCTTATTTTCTCTTCTCGAGCCTGCGAGCATTCATTTATGTCCGTGCATTTCTCTTTCCTTCTTTTAATTAGGCTTTCAGTTCCTTTCATTAAAGTAAAAGGGGCTGTAACTTTTTCCTTAATTTAATCAGTATTTTTCTAGTTTCGTTTCACATTATTCTCTCGCCTGTCTTATGTATGAGAAGAAATGTTCGTGTTTTAATAAATATGATTCTACCATTATTGCACGTACAAAATAATCAGAAGTTGTAAACAAATTAAATCTGTAATTCCGTGATGCGGAACCCCTCTTGAATAACGGAGCTAATTTACAGAATTACTCGTCTCTTACTGAACATGTAGGTTCTGTTTTTACAACCATTCGTCACGGATCCCTTTCATGTGCCATATAAACCCAGTCCACATGCTCATAACCTATTTCTGTAAGATCCGTTTTATATTCCATGTTAGGTGGGTCCCTTGTCACCACGGCATGGAGCGTCCTCAGGTTGCGGATGTTAGGTAGGTCCCTTGTCACCACGGCATGGCGCATCCTCAAGTTGCGGATGCTAGGTGGGTCCCTTGTCAGCACGGCATGGCGCACCCTCAGGTTGCGGATGTTAGGTGGGTCCCTTGTCAGCACGGCATGGCGCGCCCTCAGGTTGCGGATGTTAGGTGGGTCCCTTGTCACCACGGCATGGCGCGCCCTCAGGTTGCGGATGTTAGGTGGGTCCCTTGTCACCACGGCATGGCGCGCCCTCAGGTTGCGGATGTTAGGTGGGGCCCTTGTCACCACGGCATGGCGCGCCCTCAGGTTGCGGATGTTAGGTGGGGCCCTTGTCACCACGGCATGGCGCGTCCTCAGGTTGCGGATGCTAGGTGGGTCCCTGTCACCACGGCATGGCGCGCCCTCAGGTTGCGGATGTTAGGTGGGGCCCTTGTCACCACGGCATGGCGCGTCCTCAGGTTGCGGATGCTAGGTGGGTCCCTGTCACCACGGCATGGCGCGCCCTCAGGTTGCGGATGTTAGGTGGGGCCCTTGTCACCACGGCATGGCGCGTCCTCAGGTTGCGGATGCTAGGTGGGTCCCTGTCACCACGGCATGGCGCGCCCTCAGGTTGCGGATGTTAGGTGGGGCCCTTGTCACCACGGCATGGCGCGTCCTCAGGTTGCGGATGCTAGGTGGGTCCCTGTCACCACGGCATGGCGCGCCCTCAGGTTGCGGATGTTAGGTGGGGCCCTTGTCACCACGGCATGGCGCGTCCTCAGGTTGCGGATGCTAGGTGGGTCCCTGTCACCACGGCATGGCGCGCCCTCAGGTTGCGGATGTTAGGTGGGGCCCTTGTCACCACGGCATGGCGCGTCCTCAGGTTGCGGATGGAGGAGACGCCCTCCAGATATGGAAGGTAGCTGCAAATATATTGAATAAGCAGTCGCGGACAGCCTACAAGAGGTGGTTTTCCATCTTGAGCGTTTGGCATGGAACTAACAATTCTTCACCGTAAAAAAATAAGCTTGTTACGAAATGTCACAAGGGGCCTCGGACAATATGAAAATTAGAATATCCAAACTATAATTTTGTGGTTTTGTATGAATAGTGGAACTTGGTCTCTGACATTAAGGGAGGAATATAGACTGAGGGTGTTTGAGAACAGGGTGTTGAGGAGAATATTTGGATCGAAGAGAGATGAAGTGACAGGAGGTTGGAGAAAACTGCACAATGAGGAGCTTCATAACTTGTACTCTTTTCCAAGTATAATTAAAATGATCAAGTCAATGGGGATGAGATTGAAAGGGCATGTAGAACGAATATGAGAGAAACTAAATGCATATAGGATATTGGTGGGAAAGCCAGGAGGAAAGAGACCACTGGGAAGACCAAGACGTAGGTGGGTGGACAATATTAAAATGAATCTTAGAGATATAGGATGGGATGGTATGGATTGGATTTATTTGGCTCAGGATAGGGACCACTGGAGTGCTCTTGTGAACACGGTAATGAACCTTCGGATTCCATTAAATGTTGGGAAATTCTTGAGTAGCTGCACAATTGGCTGCTTTTCAATAAGGGCTCAGTCCCATGTAGTTAATTTCTTTTTATATCCCATCTGCGCATGTAGGCTTGTACTTAAGTACTTCAGTCTGGGTCTCCTGTGGGGTGTGAATGAAGCAATCGTGTTCTGTTGTCATTTTTAGCCTACTTTCCTCATTTTGAAAAAGAAAAGCAAAATAAGGCTTATTAGATCACTTTATCTCTCTGGGTATTCACCTGTATCTGTCTGTCAGTATGTGTATCCCCCCTAATTTTCGTCAGGATGCTTATGAGATCGCTTTGCTGTATCTTCCACTCATATTGTTGCTAGGCAACGAGCCGTCTGTGTGCCTCCCTCCAAATTTTTCAGTTCCTATGCTTTTCATATCGTATAAAAAAAAAAAAGCAGTCCATTAGTTCTTCGCAGTACTTCTTGTAATCTTTTCCATTCCCTGGACATACATACACATCCTTTGATATATTAGTTTGGGTTTGGTTAGGTTAGAGACATACCTGAAAGTCCATTAAGAGTTAACACTAGGTTTTTAATGGAGTATTACAAAAATCTTTCGGTCTGTTGTCCGTTCTTTGCAGAACGCAGAGGCACTACCACAATTATGATGACACGAAAGACCTCAGTGCTTTCGATTAAACCTCACAAAATGAGCACACATTCGTATGTAGGCGAGAAGCTCCATTTATTCTCGTTTTATTTTATTGGCTAAATTTAGGCCCGTGTAATTACTAATGAGAGATTATTGCAGTTGGATAAAAACGTTTTATTTTTGGTGCAGCAAATACGAACATACCAATTAGAGTCTTCTCAGAAACATAAAGTTAACTTTACTGAGTTAATTTAATTTTGAATGGGCCTTTCTACATCACCCGTAATTGCAGTCATTCGTTGTAGAAGATGTCAAGACCAAGTGAAGTTGTGTTAGTTAGGACTGAGTTGGGTTTGTTTGAAATTAAGAAAGAAATGTGTGGAAAGAACATTAAAACCTTAGCTCTAGGATTCTGTCTTGGATATCTGAATGGATACCCCCCTCCACCCCCCGCCATCAGTTGCCCTGGAAGGATAATTGCTCCTTCTGAAGTCGCTATCAGAAAGGGACATCATAGAAAAGGCTCTGAGTCTCTTTACTGAGACTTACAGATGCTCTCTGTTACGCGATTCGAGTGCAGACTATCGGTTTCATGAGTCTGGTTCCTTTCCGTGGTGTATTTTATGCTTCAACTGTTAAATGCAGTGGCGGCTCGCTGCTACTGTTGTATACACATATTGAAAGGTGTTTATATTCGTTGGGTTTAAGGTTCTCACGGGATGTGACCCCGTGCAGTCCGGTAGACGTTCACAAGCGTTTCGGAAAAACGGACTACTTCCACCATCAAGGTCGAAGAGTAAATTAAGTCTGCAGCCAGCAAGAAAGAAACAGATTGAAGTAGTACGTTTCTCCGAAACGTCCGCGAACTTCTACGGGACTACACGTTGTCACATTACATAAAATAGTACACTTCGTGATTACGTTTCTTCTCGCTATTAAAAAAAATATTTGGATGTTTAACGAGGTTTTCAAAATCATCGAATTATATGGCGTAGATTGGTTGGACGGTTAGTGGAGAATGGATTGGAAAGAATGTGAATGGAATCGGCCATGGCTTAATTTTAATGTAACATCCAGGCATTTGCGAGTGTGGAATGGGGAAACCGCCCCAGTCGGCCGATGAACCCGGTTGTACCAAAATACGACCAGACACGACCACTATCCATTTAGCCCTGATTTTCAGTAACCCTTTGTTACCTTCTTACTTACGCGTTTGCTGTAGCTTCAAGATACATGTTATGATTCATAAATTACGTATTAATGAACAAGTATTTGGGAGTGTACCAGTGTGACTGTTGATTGTCCGAATGTTTATGGCAGCAGTTGATTTACTACATTGGAACTACACGTATATTGGACTCCGTAAATTATTTTATATACATTCAAAGCACACGACGTTTCGGAAATAGTGCCCCCAATAACGTTGGTTTCCCATTTACATTTAGTTTAAAATAAATACTTTTCAATGGTTTTTTTTAAACTTAATTACATTTGTTGCAGCTAATTATTTTCCCGTATGCTGTGTCCCCATTTATATTAAACTAACTTTTTTTTTACCACAATGTTAGCCAACTAGGGCAGGAAAGTCACAACAAACGCATTTCCCCAACTTGCTACTGTGCAATTCATTAACCCTCTGACACAGGTGGCAAAGTTCCAGGTACATCATCATCATCATCATCATCATCACCATCACCGCCATCATCATCATCATCATCATCATCATCATCATCGTCGTCGTCGTCGTCGTCGTCGTCGTCATCATCATCATCATCTACATCATCACCACCACCACCATCATCACCATCACCATCATTGCAGGCAAAACAGCCCTTTATGAGCTGTAGCCTTCTGTATAAGATTCTTCCAGGTTTGTCTTGAATTAGAACATTCAGTTTTCACTTCTTTGGATTTCACAATTATTTTTCTGCAGAACAAGGTCGTCAGCCCTGTGTGTAACCCTAAGCCTGGAGGACCAGGTGACCCAGTTATACCTCCAGGCGCCGGGTTCCCTTCCTTTCGCCTTCTACAACTCCCAGGGTGATGGTGGAGGTATTGTAACCTTCCTTCACAAAAAGTAAAATAGTCAAGCAGTTATTGATGACACTGAAGACTTCAGTACATGAAAGCGTTTGAGGAAGCAGGAGTCATGGCATTTCCCTCTGTGTTTGGATTGTTAGTGAAGTGCTACTGTTCTGGTGACGGTTTCAGACGGACGTGACAGAGCTGTGTCCAAGCCCCGCACTCCTGGCGCAGCAGTTAACACACGTCGAACTGGAGAGGCTCTCCTACATTGGGCCTGAGGAGTTCGTCCAGGCGTTCGCCAAAGAGAACCCGCATCTGGAGACGTCCTTCAAAGACATGAAGAAGACGCGAAATCTCGAGTCCTATGTGCAGTGGTTCAACAGGCTTAGCTACTTCGTGGCCACGGAAGTTTGCAAGGTAAGTAACTATCCTAACATTGATAGAACTTTGCTAAAATCAAGACAACTGTACAGATGTTCCTAGAACTGTATTAAGAATCATCGAATTATGCTGAAATTTACACTAAACTTCACGTATAAATTGCAGAACTGTGTTCAGATTCATAGAACTGGGGACAAGTTACAGTTCTTAGAAGTGAAGTTTAGCCTGAATGCATGTTAACTGCACTGAAATTCAGAGAACTGACAGTCACTGATGGAACTGTTCCAACATTCTTAGACAGGTTGCTCTGTCTGTGGTATATCATGGTTCTTCTCAGGTCTCCAGGCAAATACTCATATGTTAACTGCATGAAGTTGAGCCCTTCTTGAGAAGCCGCCAGTCGCTCAGCTACTCAAGAATTTCCCAATATTTTATGGAACTGGAAGGTTCATTAATGTGTTCACAAGAACTCTCCACTGGTCCCTGTCCTGAGCCAGATCGGTCCATACCACAATCCTATCTCTCTAAGATCCATTTTAATATTATCCTCCCACCTACGTTTGTGTCTTACTAGTGGCCTGTTTCCTTCTTGCTTTCCCACCAAAATCATATATGTAGTCCTCTTCCATGCGTGCCACACGCCCTGCCCATCTCATCCTCCTCGTCTTGATCTCAATATGGTTGCAGAAGAGCGCAAGTTACAAAGCGCCTTGTTAAATAACCATCAAAAAGTCTTTTTGCACATAACATTCCAGTTCATGATTCACAAACCAGAAATCTCTTCAGTACTGGGTAACCTGTGAAGTTGAAAGATGTCCACAGTAATGTACTTGAACTGTTAAGTGACTGTTGCTTTCTGTGTGTTTACTCGAAATTCTATCCTGTCTGTCCACCAGCAACATGTCAAAAAGAAACTTCGGGTGAAGGTGATGGAATATTGGATTGAGGCAGCACGGGAGTGCTTCAACATCGGCAACTTCAACTCCCTCATGGCTATCATCGCCGGCCTTAACATGTCACCCATATCCAGGTTGAAGAAAACGGTGAGTCCATCACAGCTTCTTGATTCTGTGAGAACTAAAGCTTATCCTACTTTGTGTATTTTAAGAAAAAATAATATTGACTGAGACTTTTGATTGTCCTTGTCTGCATTGTGACAGAGTGTAATCTTGTGAATGGTTACACACTACAACAGCAAAGGAAATCAAGAGACAGTCACTCCCTTCTCACCCTTTTGTACATGTGAAGGGTTGGTACTGCTTCTGGCTTTTATTCTTGCTGCTAGTTTTATGTTATGAGGTAAATATCATTTAGGAAGATCATTAATTGTAACAAACTTTTTTTTTTTCATGGACAGCAAAAAAGTAAAGTAAAGTAAAGGTATCCCTGTAATAGGCTGCGGAGGCCCATAGGGTTGTGAGATGTTGAGGTTCCCACATTTTCTAGACAATTGGCTCATAGATGGGGGTAAGATTGTCAGCCTTACATACCAGCCACCTTTTACCCCCAAGAATATTCCTGGTACTCATTTCTGTTAGAGATGGAGTCGACCCCAGGGCCATAGTGTGGCTGGAAGAATTAGTTAAATTGAAAAAAATCCACCTCATCGGGATTTGATCCTGCGACCTTCAGCCTTGTAGCACAGTACCTCAACCACCTACACCACCACATGCCCAGCTGTCCAGAACTAAATACAGGTTGCAGACTGGGTATCCTGATAGAGGTTTTTAGTGATTTTTCTTCGTTTCTGCCATGGAAGTAATGAAGTAATATGTTGCAGTAAGTTATAACCACTTCCTTTAACTTTATTGCCAACTCATCAGTCACAAGTAATCCCACAGTTTGAGGATACTAATATACATATAGTTAAAAAAGCATCATTAAATAACCAGTAATCAGTCAGTGTAGTGAAAGCTGTCCATTATGTTTCTCCCCATAAAATTCTTATGTATTTGGTTTCCATTTTATCCAGTCTATATGTCCAACAGATATTACCCTTTGTCAACACACAAATTTTGGTGTTGTGGGTTTAAATACTAATTTTATGAGTTCTGGTTGTTATTAGTGCAGTGTGCAAGCATTTGCCTATTAAACAGCCTGATGTGCATGTTTCTGTGTGATTTATAAGATATTTAACGATGTCATGTCAGTTTTACTTTGTTTGAAACATTTACAGGTGCATGTAAACAAATGCAGTGTGGGCAGCAACATGAGTTAAAAGTGTAGTTTATGATATGCTGACGGTTCCGTATAAATTCATTCATTCCCTTTATTTTCCATATATCCATACAGGTAAAAAACCTAGGATGTGGAAGTAGTCCCTTTGATAATAGATGTGTCCAGATACATATAATAAATTACATGAGTTACATAATTAAAATCACATACATTAGTCAATTAACATAGGTAATAAACTAGTAAACTTATTACAATTATAATTAATAAACATAATTTAAAAAGAACATTACTATAAAAACTTAAAATTAATACAGTTTCATTTAAATTACCTAAATTAACTGAATTAAATGCATTATAAATTTACACACTTATGTCCAATTATCTTTCCTTCTTTCTTTATTTCATTTTCCCATAAATCAAAATACATTGATACAGGACTTGTCATATCACAATACTAGCAGCAAAAAACATATACAGGCAATTCTACAGGTTGTTCTTGTCGCATTTGGTGAAATGTGGCGTTAGGTTATTATATCCCCCCCCCAGAATGGTTTGAGAGTCGCTCTGTTTAGACGTACAACAGAGGAGGATATGACATCATACTGTTTAGTAGATAGGTACAAGTGTTTTCAAGAAGTCTTCTGCCTCCATAATTGTGGTGTAAGAGTTTCTTCTACCCTGAAGATGGAATCAGTTAATTCATGTATATTATTGATACCTACCTACCAGAATACTCATCACATCCCCAGGGAAAGAGCCCATGGTAGCCATTGAATAGGGGGTGGATGGGCCAGAGTGCAGGTGTGGTTGCTGTGGAGAAGAGAGAAATCTTCCACTGCCAGAAATCAAACATGGGTCGTCCAGCCCATAGCCCATTGCTATACCTAGATTATCTTTAAAAATTCACAAACACCTTGCCTATTGCAGCCCTTTTGCTTCAACTTTATAGTAAGTAGTAGTGTGAACAGTTATTTCAATTTATTTGCACGAAGATACTAAACTTCATAGAATAACAGTACTAACTAAGAGATGCTGCTAGCAGAAGAAATTGTTTAGCAGATGTGGACATCGTAGTAGCAACTCAAGCGTACCTTCCACTTCTGCCATCTTCTGCTCCTATATGTAATTAATGTCAGCACACACAATGACAGAAGAACAAGCCTTAGCCTTTTGTATATAGTCCTAAGGATTACAAATTATAAATCACTCTGTCCAATGTGACCTGTAAGTTTTTTACTACGTAAAAACTTAACACTTTAAACTTTTTACGTAGTAAATAACTTACAGGTCACATTGGACGGAGTGATTTATAATTTGTAATTGTTATTGTGACGGACCAGAATGAAACAAATCAAAGTCCTAAGGATGTTTTACTTAGTGATGCTATCGGTAGCTCAGTCTGTGTAAGGCTGAATGAAGGAATGATTAGTGAATAATGAATTGAGAAGGATGTGGAAGAAGAGGCTTGCATAATGACGAAGGACTCTGTTCTGAATAGTTATTTACTTTCCTATCGCTTTTCTTCTTTCATTTGCACAGAATGTAATCGTATCTCTCTGAATGTGATGTAAATAAAGTGAGCTCAATTTATAAACACCTGGTGAAACACTTAATGCATCTACTTGTATGGTTGTTATGAAGAAGTATTCCCTAAGTTGTGATAAGTCTGTACTGTAAGATGAAGTTTCGTAGAAGTGTTTGTAATCGGTGTATTCCATTCGTTTGGCTTTCCCAGAATGACAGAAAAAGAATCTAGAATAAAAAAAAACAAGTAAAATAAAAACGAGGACACCTCATTATCAGAAGCCAAACACAGGACTGGAAAGAAAGCAGGAAGAGACGAAGAGAAATTGAAGGAATTGAATAGTCTGCCCTGCTGTTTCTTGCAGACTTGTCTCTCCTCTCTCCTTGTAGATTTTTTTCCTCTTGCTTTTTGGATTTGAATTGAGGGGAAATGGGGTGTAGGGAGGGAGATAAGGAACTTATGACCTTTAAAGCTTCTTGCAACTGGCGCCTGTCCTGCTTTACCAGATGTAAAAGCAGCTTGACAAAAGAAATTGTTTTTCAATTAAAGACGGCTTATCTTAATCCACGCGTAAGAGCGGCAAGTCCAATGCCTTCTTTATAATGGAATAAATATCTTAGCAAATTACTCCAGGAAAGAAATGGGTTTCTTAATTAAAATTCTCATCTTCACTATCGCATTCAAATGTGATTGCAAAGCCAGAAAAAATTGATAGGCCTACAGTTATGATGAGATGTTGTTTTCATATGCCTTAACCCTTTACAGCATGACATTAATGAAAACAACATCTAACATTTCAGTTCATACCACGCAGAAAACACAGTGTGTCTCCATTAACAAAAACCAACAGATTAATGCTGGCAGGGAAATCAGTGTTTATTGTGGGAATGATATTTTCTCAGCATTGTCCTTTTTGTAATTCTTATTCCATCTACAGAGTCAAAGTGTCTTTTAACTTGAAGTTAGAGGTAGCATGTTCCTCTGAAACAGTGTTACATATTTACCATAGTACATGGCATCACCAAGAAAATTCAGATTTTTGTTCTAGTATCATGACTGACTCATGTTCTTCAAGTACTCGGTTTGAATCTAAACTGAGGACCAGTCTTCACTTTTCTCCTAAGTCACCACATGATTTTCGGAATAGTAGTAAGCTCATCATGACTTTACCCATACAGATACCTTACTCATAATTCATAGTCATCACATACTATCAAATTTCACACTACATAACCTCAGTAGCTGATATAGTGTCTTATAAATATCCAAGTGTTTGAGACTTCTTGTGAGGTGAAGGTTCAGTGCTTTCAGTAACATCCTGCAAAACGTTCTGCCTTGTAAAACAGCATGTTAAGCATTACTGAAGTGTTACATAGGTGATTCATGCACTGAGCACCTTGGTGGTAAGAAGAGAGACTGAATCAATCTTGGATTTATCTGTCAGTGACAGATGGCTGACCAGTGTAAAGGAAATTCGGACATACTTTAATTTGGGAGTAACAGTGTGAAGTGCGTCTGCCCAACTTGTGTGTCAGCATGGTGTGATTTGACGTGGGCTTGTCAGCATATGAATACTGCACCATAGAAAACACTTAATTGAAGTTCCTGTGATCCTGTTAGCTTCATACAATGAAACATTTCCAGAATTCAAGTTTCTGTGATACTTTTAATTATTTACATTTTCCAGAATTCAGATTCATATGGCCTTCTTGTGAAATTTGTGCAATTGCGGAATTTTAAAAATTCAGTTCAAGAGATTATCATCTTTTGAACTTTATGCATCACAGCATTTCAAGAATTAAGATTGCTGCTGTCATGTTAAGTTATGCATTAAAGAATTTCCAAAATTCAGTTGCCTCTTGTCTTCTTCAGTTTATGCTGATCCAGTTTGTTTTGCAGTGGAGTAAGGTGCAGTCAGCCAAATTCTCCATCTTGGAGCATCAGATGGACCCCTCGTCCAACTTCAGCAGTTACCGGTCAACACTGAAAGCTGCCATGTGGCGGTCCGCTGGAGCTACAGACGAGAGGCAGCGCATCGTGATACCATTCTTCTCCCTCCTCGTCAAGGATCTGTACTTCTTAAATGAGGGTTGCTCAAATAAGTAAGTGTTACTCTATTGTGTACTAAGTTTTCTAGACATTGCAACCATGAAGCGAACTTATGTGTCAGTGTGAGTTGAAAAGATGCGTGCCTGAATGATGCAGTTCAGTCTGCACCCCAAAAGTTATGCACCCATTATGAATAAAAAGTGATTGAATGTTTATGGCCTAGGATAGTTTTCTCTGTGCTTAATTAATTAAGCATTGTGCCACGAAGACATATGGGGAAGTGGAGGTGTAGCTCCATCATTCTTGATCTTGACACTAGATTGAGGTCAGTGGTCAGCTTCATGTCCCAGCTTATCTAAGATTACGTCACTTGGGTCAATACTTTATGGAACCAAGTGACTATTTTGACGCCCCCACGTACAAAATCCTGTGCTTCATTCAAAGCGCAGGATTGCTGAGGGGATAATCAAAAGGGAAAGCACAATAGAGCACTGTAGGTCGCGGTGCAAGGGACAAGAAGGCCTACCCCTCATACATACATACATACATACATACATACATTCATTCATTCATTCATTCATTCATTCATTCATTCATTCATTCATTCATTCATTCATGCATGCCCCAGCTGCTTTACCCCTGGGAAAACTTCCCCCCATATCCATTGGATAGGAGGCTGGGTGGGCCCCAAAACCAGTCTGGATGTTATGGAGAAGAGAAAAATCTTACCCTTGCCCAGAATCAAAAACTGACCGTCCAGCCTGTAGCCCAGTCCTACACCAACTGAGCTATCCCATATGTAGATTGCAGAGCTTAGGCAAACAGAACTGCAGACACTTGTTGACAGTTGAAATAACAGTTTCCAATTGTGTGAGCATTAAGGTTCTCATAGTAGTGCCTAAGAAGAGTACTGTCATCTGCTATGTGACGCCGTTTAGTCTGGTAAAAGTTTACTGACATTGTATAGGAACCTTCAAAGCCATGCAAACAATCATGAAGTAGACATGAAAAAAAAATCTGTAGGCCTTGTTGTAGTTCAGATGTTGGGTATGTGAAATACATGCATTTTTTTAACTTCTTGGGAGACAGTGTTTTAGGAGATAGAATTATGAGAATATCAACATCGATGTTAGCTGTAAGGGTTTTAAAAAGGTAAAGCTATCCCTGTAAGAGACCAGAAAGGCCCATGGGATTATCAGATGTCAAGGCTGCCACATTTTCTAGATAATCAGCTCAAACATGACAGTGAGGTTGTCAGCCGCCCTTTACTGCCCAGGAAGATTCATGCTACTCATTTCTATTAGAGGCTGAGTCAATCCCAGGGGTGTAGAGTGGCTGGAAGGATTAGGTCAATTGAAAAAATCCAGTTCCCTCATTGGGAATCGAACCCACTACCTTCTGGCTTGTAGCATAGTGCCTGAACCAACTACACTATCATGTGTCTGTGTGTGCCTTTTAGTGAACTCAGTTTAATTTGACTAAGGACATGGTATTATTTCAAGCTTCCCTTTACGTTCTTTTGAATCCTGATGCTCTAACATCATGATATTAATTGACCAATTACTACTCATGCCAGTTTTTACTTCTGTGTCCAACAAAAAGTGATGCTAGTATTCATAATAATTTGAATTTTTTTAAGATGAGCCACATAAAATATTGTTTTCCTTCACTGATGAACATCCTCTATGAAGGAGGAGACTGGAATAATGTCTAGGCTATCTGCCACTTCACTTTGATTGTTTTCATTATTGTGATAAGGTATGGTGAGACATATTTGTTCATATTTTCACGTTTTCACTTTCCTCATAAACAGCCAATACTGTCCTGTACATCAGCAGCTTCTATTAGGGAGAAATTCTTTTCATGAACTTAGAAAGAATATGTTCAACTGGCCATACCTTTATTGTTCAAGGTGTAATATTAAGTGAAAGCTAGAATACTGACAAGATGTCAGCTACAAAATGGTGTCAGGTACTATGCTGAATTCATTACATTATTCTTCAGAGCAGGAAAATAAAAAGACAAAGGACATTATCAGATAAACTTAACCATTGAACACAAAATTCAGAAAAATAATGGGGCACATTTAATATATATATGAATTGAAAAGAGACTAATTTTATTTCATTCTCTCTCCTTACATATTTAATTCATGCAAACCACTGCTTTTAATTTCCATTTAATATCCCTTCCCTTCCCTTCCCTTCCCTTTACATTCTATTGTCTTTAAGGAAGTCTCACTACTGGAAACTTGACAAAAGGTCCCCCCCCTTCACCATCACGTTACTGTGCACTTCATGCTGCTTATTGTATAACCTGGAATGAAGGAACCAGGAGGGAAGTTTTGTTTCATGTGGCAGGGCTGCCAGCAGCGTGGAACAATACATAAATTAAGGTCGTGGGTGAAGAACGGTTGAGAGGAAATGTGGAAGAATAGGAATTTTGGAGCAAGAAAACAGAACCAGCAGGCAAGGTTGGAAGCATTTCGTAAATCAAGAAGAAAAATGTATTATCGCCTAAAATAAAAAGAAAACTATGAATAGGAAGCGAATGCTTTGTTAGTTACAACTTGCTGTGTTCAATATTTTATAGGGATTTTTAGACTGAGTTATCTGGCCATACAGAAACGTGTTATATCTTGCTTTCCATTGAGATCATCCAGCATGCTGGTGGCTGTAGTACAGTAGAGTTTTATTTTGGAGGTATCCTCTTCGAATCTCGGTCATGTGACCATCTATCTTTAGTAATAGTTTCATAATTTTACTCATTTTCTTCTGCTGTGTGCTAGGATAGTATTTTGAAATAGACTGACCCATCTCCTTTGAAATCTTTACCTGCTCGCCATACATGATCATCTTAAAAACTCTTAAGCTGACAGAAATTGTACCACTTTTATTTAGGAGGAGCCCGGTTCAAATCTCGAGCAGGACACAGACTGTCCTCACTGGTGTATTTCATAGTTTTTCTCAGTCCTTCCAGGCAAATGCTGGATTAGTACCTAAAATTTGGCCACAGTCGCTGCATCCACATCTTTTCCACTTCATCCTTCGCTGTCGCCCAGTCGTTCACCATTTTGTGGTCAGAATTACTGTGTGTCATTGAACAAATTAAGATAGATAAATACATCTTATAAGCTGTGTCATTTGAAGAGTGTCACTACAGATACATGACTGAAATAGTATCAGTTAATTACTTTATAAAGCGAATATCCAAATGAAGAGATTCATTGCCTCTTCCTCTTGCTAGTGTGGATGGACTGTTCAAGGGTTTGTACACCATGCCACATTGGAAACTTTCAAATAGACAGCAGAGTTGCAGATATTAATGAAATGTCTGATTTAGTTCATGTTACAGCTTTTTGTACAAAGAATTTCCTTTGTAAAGAAAATATAAGTTTTTATTTGGACATCATGTAAAACACATGTTATACTAAAATTATCTGTGGGCTTAATTAATCAATCACTACATCATCAATATATGTTTTTTTTATTGCTAGTGGGGTGGGACTAAGTCCCTTGTGCTGCGGCCACTTATGGCCTGTTGTACCAGCCCCAGATGATAGGTGAGGGTTATTGTGGAGCAATTGGTGGAATGAAGATTGGCAGGGGAAACCGAAGTACTTGGAGAAAACCTGCCCCACTGCCACTTGTCCACAACAAATCCCACTTAACCAGACCCGGGATTGAACCCGGGCTGCCGCGATGGGAAGCCAGCGTCTAACCACTTGAGCTGTGGCGCGGCCTAGAAGACATGTGTTAGTTACAAATCCACAGTACATATCTCATCAATTTAATGCTTTCTTTTCCATAGAGAATGTGGATAGAACATTAAGTCATAATAAAGATTGTAAATTTGGCCATGATGCTGTAAGTAATAAAATATTAAATTCTAATTCCATGTTTCTCGCACCAGTTACTGAAGATGAGGTATTAAATGTAACCAAGAAATGTAAATGTAAATTTTATATCATCATCATCATCATCAGTAATCTGTCAGACGACAGGTCCACAGTCTCTTCCAAAACAATTCCTCCACTTATTGCGATCTAGAGCTTTCTCCTTCAAGTGACAGTTTCCTCTTCTGTCCCCAAGGTCATCCAACATCTTCTTACGTCTTCTTCCTCCTCGTCTTCTTGTCACTTCTATCTGCCCCTCTATCTTTCCTTCAGTAACTTCTTTTAGAAGGCATTTTCTGCGTAAAACATGACCAATCAAATTAGCCTTCCATTTCTTATTTCGTGTAGGATATTGCTCTGCTCACTGACTCTAATTAACACTTCTTCATTTCTCACATAATCGGTCCAACTGATCTTCTCCATCCTTCTCCAACACAACATTTCGAAACTTTCCAGATGTTTCTGATCTACTGCCCTAAGTGTCCATGTTTCAGCCCCATACAGAGCTATGCTCCAAATGTAGCATTTCACTAGTTTCTTCCTCAAATTTAAGTCCAATTTGCTGGTAAAAAGATTCTTCTTCTTGCTAAATGCAGCTTTTGCCATGGCAATCCTGGATTTAATTTCACACGTACACCTTCCATCATCTGTTAACAAGCTACCCAAATAATTAAAACATTTCACATTCTCCAGTTGTTTTTGGTCTATCTTTATTGTGACTGGGGTCGGTTGTCTCGAAATTTTCATTACTTTTGGTTTCTCCAGATTCATTTCCATGC